TGTCGCTGTGTCGTGTGTGGGAGTGCCAAAATATTACGTGATACGAAAATAATACGAACTCTAAATTTAGATGTCTTGAGTTCGAATTTGGACGACATCTTAGGGCCAAGTCATGAGGGTTTTATCCTTCATGAATATTCTAGTTTCGAAGTGATTGGTTTGTCTTTGACCGGATAAAAGAAGAAATTAGTAAATTAGTCGAAGTGTGTAAAAGTTAATCCGAAAATCCTTAACCGATGAAACAAAAAAAAAATGAGACCTCAAAATTTAGTTGGTCATGAATTTCAACATTGTGATGCATCAAAAAAAAACATTCTAAATTTTCTCAAGAGTTCTTAATTCCCGTCTTAGATTAGGACTAGAACTTGCTTGGATCAATTTGAATCCAATCCAAATATATTCGATACTAGGTTATAAACTTGCATGTCTGGTTTAAGTATAATATAGAATAAGATTGAATAATTGATTCCATTCTAGTCAATATTGGTGGTAATAATTGGCCAACCACTTTGCCGTATGTTAATTAAATCATATTTAGATCAAGATTTGGATAAAAACTGTCATCTCATTGTTGTAATGCAAATTTTATTTTTGGATGAAGAATTAAATGCATGGTATTAAGTTGAAAAAGACCAAAAAACACCCTATATCAATGCTTAAACCTGAAATTCATCCATATCCCGAGATATTTTAATCGAGCAATGTTACATGGACTTAAAAAGTAGACTTGATAATCTTAACTATTGATTTAAATCATATTGGATAGCTAAAGTCCATTTAGATCAGAGTATCTCCCATTGAATTGGGTCCCTTTCTCTGCCTGTGGAGTTAGGAAAATTACTAGATGATGATTGTAGTTCTTTTGCGATTACTTGAATGAAAATACAACTTTCCTAATAAAAAAAATTACGTAAACCTTTAGTATATAGGGACATTTTTATTATTAATACCCATAATGCCTCATTTAATACCACCTTTTTTTAGGATAACTAGTTGTTGTACACGTGCATTATACGTGGATTCTTTCGAATTATAGTTTTGCTTTCTTATTCTAAGAGAAACAACTCCTAAACTTTTATCAAGGTTAGCTTGATACCCTCAAACTTCCAAGAAAAAAAAATTAAATGTTTTGTTTCAATTTACTTTATTTCCTATCATCTAAAAAATAAAATGGGTTTTCAACTGAAATTAAGAGATTGTCAAGACCCTACAAGCAACCCTTTAACAAATAATTTTTCTTCATTTTTTTCATAGCTTTGATTAAGTGTAGTGCCAAGTGACTAAAGTTATTTCATCCTTTCAGTCTACTTAGATTTTTTTTCACTTCACTATTGTAGTCTCTGTATCTTGAGGAGATGATCAGAGAGTAAGGCTGAGACAAACAACAAATCAAATAAATTTCCCTCCTAAAATTATGAGGAAAGAGTGCATGAACATATTTAATAGTTATGTTAGATTAGACAAAACAATAGATAGCTATGATGAGTTCAGATTTAATTGGGATAAATTGAATGGACTTAGAGCAGTTGAAAGCATCCCTCAGGTTCATCCTGTAGGTTTAATCCAACTTATTGATCCAACTCAGTCCAAGATCCAAGGAGCCTAGGAAGATAAGAGCATGTGAGAGAGAGATCATCGGGATACCCACCTTCGAAGATTATGATTATCTTAATTGTACTTATATTTTGTAACTATCTTCCCTGAAAAGCTAGTGCATTTACTTTCACGTCATCGACTCACTATGCTTGTAAATTGTAACCTCTCTCCATTGAGAGGGGCATCTCACTACACCACTCTACATCTCTACATCTATTTGCACATTTTCTCTCTCCTAACTATTGTATCTCTCCCGGAGCTAACCATTGTTCTCTCCCTCGTTCACCTTACTTCATCAACAAAGACTCTCTCATCACCATTGTCATTTTCCAGAGTAGAGTGGATCACTCGAATCGAATCACTATATATCTGTGTGTTGATCCAATATTTACATTATTGTCATTAATTATTTTATTAATAGTCTATTAATTATACCTCATCACACACTCGACTATAAATTTTGCACGAGACTATTTTTTGTGCATCATCAAGCTATATAAAGTTTATGTTGTCTCAGTATAGAGAATTTGCACATCTTAGTAGATAACAATATTCTTGTATTTTGATAAATTATTTCTTTGTATTTGGTACTTGAACGTATATTCCTTAAAGCGTATATTTACATTGACCAAACCACTAAACTTGCCAATTCTTCGAACATTTATCTAGTCAAAATCAATACAAAATAGTGAGATTGAACAAAACTATATATGGTCATACCTCATGTCAGATCTTTGATTTCATATGTTATCCATCGTCCACCACTCTTAGATATTGAGTTTTCTTCATTGTTAAAATGAATAAACTTTAATTTGAATAAAAAAATAAAGAGAATATACACATTCATATACAAAATACAAAAAACAAGAATAAAAAGTGAGATCAATTGGTTGGTGGAAAGAGAAATAAAGAAAATAATTCACCTAATTATGGACTTTAACAACCATAGGAGCTTTCGACTTTTGTGTTTCGATTGTTATAGAAGAAGAGAAAATGTGTATAAAATAAAAAGGTTCAAACTAGGTAATCCATATTAAGTTAGAATTTGAAAAGTTAAAAAATAAATGAAACAAAGTGGAAGCTTTTATAATATGTGTTGGAGGAAGAATTAAAAGTCCAATTATTTGAAGGTAAAAAAATGACTTTTTATATATTATTATTTGAACAATCATGCACAAATGTATCAATGAATCAATAGGAAATTAAGTGACAATGAAAATGGTTGCAAAAATAGAATTAAATAATAGTTGTATCGTAAACTAAATGGTTGGTGGAAATAATTTGGGGGAGAGAGTCATCAACTTGTGAAATAAGTAAATGTATACTATAAAGAACAATAATTTGTGTAGAAGTGAATATATATGAAAGATCATTTGAATATTTAATTAATATTTGATATTTAAATACAAAGGATATAATTGGTCTTAACCTTTTTAACAGGGATATAATAGTCAATCAAAAAATTTTCACTTAACTTCCTTTTATTAGTAGTATTAGATGGTGCACACGTGTCTTGCACGTGGACTTTTTGAGTTATGGTTTTGTTTTTGAAATAATTAAATAAATATAATAGCAAATACCTACTTATAAATATAACCTTTTGAATATTCCTATTATATAATTTGTAATGGACATAACACTATGTATTTACAAAATAAATATTAGTTTTTATTGTTTTATTTTCTCATAAGTTTTCATAAATTACTTTATTGTAAACCTCTACCCTTAAAGTTTAGAACTTTTTTCACATGAAGTTAATTATTTAGATTAATTTTATTTTCAACATCATAGTAATGGTACAAATATATTTTATAGTATATGAGTATATATAACTAAAAAGTATCGCAAAAACTTATTAAATTATAAAAAATACGAAAAAGAACTATTTTAAGTTATGGTGGTCATTTAATTATAAAAAATTGGTTGAACAAACCAAAAAGTTAAGTTGTGATAAGTAATTTAATGTGATATTCATAGCATTGCTAATCAATACAAATAAAATGGTTTCTAATATTGCCAATAAATATAACTAAAGGTGATTTATTAAAACTAAAACAAAAAAGAGAAGAAAATGAAAAGTTAGGACATGATAATATTATCGGAATTATATTAAAATAAATTTTATACTAAATAAGATTCTAGTGCAGTTATGCAATTTCATTTGAAAATTTAGAAACTTGTCATCAACTAATGAAAATAGATAGATATAAATAAAAGTAAATTTAATTATTTTAATAATTCATTTTTATTTTTTGAAAGAAAGAATATGAAAAACTTGAATATGTGTAAAATTAATGAAGTTTTATTAATATGAATTCCATATTGATAATGTTAGTATTGTGAGAGTAAAATTGTCCAATTAAAAATTTAACATCCATCAAGTCCTTATTAATATGAGTTCTAAATTAAATAAGACTAGTATTATCTTTATATATTGTTTTAGGGTTAAAGTAGTCAATCAAAATTTTTTTTGATAGTAGTATAGACAAGACAAACCTATCCATATTTTATCCCCCCTTTGCTCCACTATGAATCACTAAAATAGTTATTTTGCTTACCCCCGCTTGTCTAGGAGGAGAAGCAGGGGTAAGCAAAATAACTATTTTGGTGATTCATAGTGGAGCAAAGGGGGGATAAAATATGGATAGGTTTGTCTTGAACTCGTTCACCAAGTTTGAACCCAAATTTTATTGAAAATGACTACTCTCTTCGATGCTAGTAATCATTAGACGAAATATTTTAATTGAGACAAAATTGATAATTAAAAAATTAAATTAAGAAAATTAAAAGTTCAAAAACCAAGTTAAAACTAAAGGTAAAATTTAAAAATCAATTCCGATATTTACTCAAAATCTTAAATTGAACCCAAAATTAACCTCTCAACCCTTCTACCAACGAGAGTCGCAACCAACCCAACCTAACATGCACCGACATTATTAATATGTGCAGAAAATATTTGAGAAAACACTAAAAAAGAGAGAAAAAACCAAAAAGACAGATCCCACGTGGCAAATAATGTACTTTCGTATGACTCAACGTGGACAAACTAACCAAAGTGGTAGGGGAATCTTGAGTTCGTGACTTAGAGACTAATTGGTGATTACACGGCGTCGTATCATCATGAAGACGCAAAACAAAAACAGTGAAAACTCTTCTCGTCGTTATCTCTCTTGTTTTTATCAATCATCAACGACACAGCTTTGCGTTCTTTCTACATTAACTACACCCAGACAACCCCATCAATGTATTGTTCTCAACATTAGGGTTTCAGAATCAAGAAGAAGAACAAGATAAGCTCCTTACTGAATATCAGTATGTTTGCTTGTCTTAGTGGGTATCTTGGGTATTCTTGATCTTGTCCTTCATCACCTTCCTTTTGGGTGGTTAGGAAGTTAGGAAAGGGAATGAAAAAGGTTGTACTTATAGCACTTTGAGTTAAGTTCTTTGTGGGTTTCTTGCTCTTTCCCTTAAACAGCTTCCTTTTGGGTGCCAAGAAAGTAAAGGAGAAGTAAAGAAAATTTATGAAGTCACCCTTTTGAGTCAACTTTATATTTTTTGGGTTTCTTTTTCGCCTGTAGTCAAATTTCAATCTTTGGTTTTCTGGAGAACGAACGAGAGTCGGTGACTTGTTGATTTCTGTGATTGGATCTCTAGTGAAAATGGCATGCCAGGCCATGCATTATTGGACTTTCAGTGGGTTGGTTGGTGCTTTTGTTGATCTTGCTATTGCTTATCTCTTACTTTGCGCATCAACTATTACTTTTTTTGCTTCAAAGTTTCTGGGTATCTTTGGATTGTGCCTGCCTTGTCCTTGCAATGGACTATTTGGGACTCCCAATAGGAATTACTGCTTGCATAGAATGTTACTTGATTTGCCAGCTGAAAATGTGTCTAATGTTCAGTTCTCTATTAAGACCAAGTTTCCTTTTGATTCTATTTGGGTAAAGGAACAGAATTGTCACTTGAATATGATGTTAGTAAAAGAAAGAGATGGTAACGTTGATGGGTTTGTTGAAGTAGAAGGAGAGGCATCGTGTAGTTTTATATCAGATGCAAAGAAGTCACAAATTGTTGCTAAAAGGGATTTGGTTCCAAGGACTGAAATAGGTGTTGAGTCTGGTATGATAGAATCTCCAGGTGTGAAAGAAGAGAGGTTTGATCTCAAGGGTAAGGGGGTCGAGAATCAGATGCCAAAGGGTGGCATTCGTCGGCGTAGAAAAGTTGGTGCTGCGTGTGGAATATTATCTTCTGTTTCATCCTATGATCCTTCATCTGAAGACAAACAGGATATTCCTCTGAATCCTAGCATCAACAACGAAGGAAATGAAATAATTGAGGGCAGCTCAATGCCTGCTACTGCTGGAATTGATGCTAATCATCAGTGTAAATTGTGCTTTTTATTGTTGTTTCAATGCATTTTATTTGTTTCACTGAAGTGTTATACCTTCATCAATGAAAAATTTTACTCTTTATCCTTGTTTCGGTGCATTTTCCTTGTAGATTAATGCTCCTGTTNTTGTTGTTTCAATGCATTTTATTTGTTTCACTGAAGTGTTAAACCTTCATCAATGAAACATTTTACTCTTTATCCTTGTTTCGGTGCATTTTCCTTGTAGATTAATGCTCCTGTTNCTAATAAATATAACTAAAGGTGATTTATTAAAACTAAAACAAAAAAGAGAAGAAAATGAAAAGTTAGGACATGGTAATATTATCGGAATTATATTAAAATAAATTTTATACTAAATAAGATTCTAGTGCAGTTATGCAATTTCATTTGAAAATTTAGAAACTTGTCGTCAACTAATGAAAATAGATAGATATAAATAAAAGTAAANTTGTAGTTGACAGTTTAGAGAAACATGTGGAAATCATCTAAAGAGGATATGTGTGTGTTTAAATTATACAAATGATATAACCATTGTCGACAGAACAAGTGAGATAAAAAAGCTCTGCAACTATAGGGTAGACTTTACTAGTTTACTTACAATAAATTTNCGTCAACTAATGAAAATAGATAGATATAAATAAAAGTAAATTTAATTATTTTAATAATTAATTTTTGTTTTTTGAAAGAAAGAATATGAAAAACTTGAATATGTGTAAAATTAATGAAGTTTTATTAATATGAATTCCATATTGATAATGTTAGTATTGTGAGAGTAAAATTGTCCAATTAAAAATTTAACATCCATCAAGTCCTTATTAATATGAGTTCTAANTTTTTCCCTGTAAATGAAACCTTCAATTTCAAGTAAAGAATCCATGACTGAGAGAAGTGAAAAGAAGAAAAAAACCAAAGAAAAGAGTAATTAATAATGGCATAAATTAGATTTTCCTCACTTGCACCTCACACTTCGAGCCATTAGGCTTAAAGTTTGANGTATTATCTTTATATATTGTTTTAGGGTTAAAGTAGTCAATCAAAATTTTTTTTGATAGTAGTATAGACAAGACAAACCTATCCATATTTTATCCCCCCTTTGCTCCACTATGAATCACTAAAATAGTTATTTTGCTTACCCCCGCTTGTCTAGGAGGAGAAGCAGGGGTAAGCAAAATAACTNTGTTTCCCTGTAAATGAAACCTTCAATTTCAAGTAAAGAATCCATGACTGAGAGAAGTGAAAAGAAGAAAAAACCCAAAGAAAAGAGTAATTAATAATGGCATAATTAGATTTTCCTCACTTGCACCTCACACTTCGAGCCATTAGGCTTAAAGTTTGAAGCTCAAGGACTTTTACATGTACTTACAGTGCACAAGCTTTACAAGCTTTTCAGAAAATTATTATGAACATCTATTGNGATTTGTCTTGAACTCGTTCACCAAGTTTGAACCCAAATTTTATTGAAAATGACTACTCTCTTCGATGCTAGTAATCATTAGACGAAATATTTTAATTGAGACAAAATTGATAATTAAAAAATTAAATTAAGAAAATTAAAAGTTCAAAAACCAAGTTAAAACTAAAGGTAAAATTTAAAAATCAATTCCGATATTTACTCAAAATCTTAAATTGAACCCAAAATTAACCTCTCAACCCTTCTACCAACGAGAGTCGCAACCAACCCAACCTAACATGCACCGACATTATTAATATGTGCAGAAAATATTTGAGAAAACACTAAAAAAGAGAGAAAAAACCAAAAAGACAGATCCCACGTGGCAAATAATGTACTTTCGTATGACTCAACGTGGACAAACTAACCAAAGTGGTAGGGGAATCTTGAGTTCGTGACTTAGAGACTAATTGGTGATTACACGGCGTCGTATCATCATGAAGACGCAAAACAAAAACAGTGAAAACTCTTCTCGTCGTTATCTCTCTTGTTTTTATCAATCATCAACGACACAGCTTTGCGTTCTTTCTACATTAACTACACCCAGACAACCCCATCAATGTATTGTTCTCAACATTAGGGTTTCAGAATCAAGAAGAAGAACAAGATAAGCTCCTTACTGAATATCAGTATGTTTGCTTGTCTTAGTGGGTATCTTGGGTATTCTTGATCTTGTCCTTCATCACCTTCCTTTTGGGTGGTTAGGAAGTTAGGAAAGGGAATGAAAAAGGTTGTACTTATAGCACTTTGAGTTAAGTTCTTTGTGGGTTTCTTGCTCTTTCCCTTAAACAGCTTCCTTTTGGGTGCCAAGAAAGTATAGGAGAAGTAAAGAAAATTTATGAAGTCACCCTTTTGAGTCAACTTTATATTTTTTGGGTTTCTTTTTCGCCTGTAGTCAAATTTCAATCTTTGGTTTTCTGGAGAACGAACGAGAGTCGGTGACTTGTTGATTTCTGTGATTGGATCTCTAGTGAAAATGGCATGCCAGGCCATGCATTATTGGACTTTCAGTGGGTTGGTTGGTGCTTTTGTTGATCTTGCTATTGCTTATCTCTTACTTTGCGCATCAACTATTACTTTTTTTGCTTCAAAGTTTCTGGGTATCTTTGGATTGTGCCTGCCTTGTCCTTGCAATGGACTATTTGGGACTCCCAATAGGAATTACTGCTTGCATAGAATGTTACTTGATTTGCCAGCTGAAAATGTGTCTAATGTTCAGTTCTCTATTAAGACCAAGTTTCCTTTTGATTCTATTTGGGTAAAGGAACAGAATTGTCACTTGAATATGATGTTAGTAAAAGAAAGAGATGGTAACGTTGATGGGTTTGTTGAAGTAGAAGGAGAGGCATCGTGTAGTTTTATATCAGATGCAAAGAAGTCACAAATTGTTGCTAAAAGGGATTTGGTTCCAAGGACTGAAATAGGTGTTGAGTCTGGTATGATAGAATCTCCAGGTGTGAAAGAAGAGAGGTTTGATCTCAAGGGTAAGGGGGTCGAGAATCAGATGCCAAAGGGTGGCATTCGTCGGCGTAGAAAAGTTGGTGCTGCGTGTGGAATATTATCTTCTGTTTCATCCTATGATCCTTCATCTGAAGACAAACAGGATATTCCTCTGAATCCTAGCATCAACAACGAAGGAAATGAAATAATTGAGGGCAGCTCAATGCCTGCTACTGCTGGAATTGATGCTAATCATCAGTGTAAATTGTGCTTTTTATTGTTGTTTCAATGCATTTTATTTGTTTCACTGAAGTGTTAAACCTTCATCAATGAAACATTTTACTCTTTATCCTTGTTTCGGTGCATTTTCCTTGTAGATTAATGCTCCTGTTGTAGTTGACAGTTTAGAGAAACATGTGGAAATCATCTAAAGAGAATATGTGTGTGTTTAAATTATACAAATGATATAACCATTGTCGACAGAACAAGTGAGATAAAAAAGCTCTGCAACTATAGGGTAGACTTTACTAGTTTACTTACAATAAATTTTTTCCCTGTAAATGAAACCTTCAATTTCAAGTAAAGAATCCATGACTGAGAGAAGTGAAAAGAAGAAAAAAACCAAAGAAAAGAGTAATTAATAATGGCATAAATTAGATTTTCCTCACTTGCACCTCACACTTCGAGCCATTAGGCTTAAAGTTTGAAGCTCAAGGACTTTTACATGTACTTACAGTGCACAAGCCTTACAAGCTTTTCAGAAAATTATTATGAACATCTATTGTCGTCTGTGTTGATATGTCAAATATTTTGCATGGTAACATAGGTTTCTATGCTTACAGAGGTTTAAGTTCGATGCATGCATATGGAGGTCCTGTATGGTTCCTATTATAATGCATGCCTATTTTAATGCTGATGTGAGTTATTTTTGTTTCAGATGATGGTGAGGCTCCTGTTTTCATGAGATTAGGGGAGAACGTGTCAAATGACTATGAGTCAACTAAACCTTTTTTTGAAAATAATTTCACTGAGAAGAAGGAATCATCTGTTGAAGTTGATGAGAAAAATGCAATTAGAATCTTGGAGCAAGCACTTGAAGAGGAGCACGCTGCTCGTACTGCTCTTTACCTTGAGCTTGAGAAGGAGAGAAGTGCTGCTGCTAGTGCTGCGGATGAAGCTATGGCTATGATTTTGCGTCTACAGGAGGAGAAGGCATCTATAGAAATGGAAGCTCGGCAATACCATAGAATAATTGAAGAAAAATCTGCTTATGATGATGAAGAAATGAACATTCTTAAAGAAATCCTTCTGAGGAGAGAGATGGAGAAGCATTTCTTGGAAAAGGAAGTGGAAGCATATAGGCAGACGGTTTATCTTGGAAATGAGCAGTCAGAGGATGACGTCCGGGATCCAGACAGCCAGAATCAACAATGGCCTACTTCTTCACTTGATCTAAGTGAGGATCCAATTCTGATGCTACACCAACTTTGTGAATCCATTGACAAGAAGGAAATTTTGAAAAATATAATTTCAGATAACGAGGCCAAAGTCAAACCGCAGAACTGTGCCCTTGCTCTTGACAATGGATTTCTGACTCAAGGATGGGGTGGAGATGCTGACTTTTCAAATCAAGTGGACACTGGCAAACAATTTCCATACGTATCATTGTCCCATAATAATGGCATTCTGCAGTTTCAGGAGAAGGAGATGCTGTCTGTAGATAAAGATACTCAACCAAGTGAACGGCAAAGATTAGAAACACCGTCACTGGCATATAACTCAAGTGTTTCTCAGATACATGAGTTGCCTGAGAAGACCATTCCCCTGGCAAGCGAAGAACAAGGGCAAAAAGATAATGAAAATCTGTATCCTGGAACGTCAGCCAAGGGTATGGAAACTCATGGTCCAAGTGAGATATGTATTCCATATAATAATGAACATGCTGAGCAGTGTGAAACAGATGCACATGTGGGGAGCATAGATCCCTGGAACCTGATGTATAATAAAGAGCTTCATGTTCATGATATTCATGTCATCGAGCATGGCACCAACTTTTGTACTGAGGTTGGTGGAAACAAAATTGAACAACTAAAGAATGAAACTTCAAATGACCAAAGAAAAAGTGATGTCCCATCAAAAGCTTCAGCAAGCCAAAGGATGGAAAACCATGCAAGCACAAGCAGGTTGGGCATTGGGCCAGACATCAACAGAATCACGTCAGACATGACTAGTGGGCTGCCACCCATGGGTTCATATGGCGGATCTTTGCTTTCTGATATGCGGAGAAATTCCATGTCGGCATTTGATAATGAAAGGTTGAAAATTGACACTGAGGTTGGACGGCTTAGAGAAAAGTTAAGGATTGTGCAAGAGGGAAGAGAAAAGCTCAACCTCTCTCTGGAGCAGCGGGAAAGAGAAAAACTGCAGTTACAACTTTTGGAGGATATTGCATACCAGCTTCGAGAGATTCAGCAGCTAACAGAACCTGGGAAGGCTGTACGTCAGGTGTCGTTACCCCCTCCATCCTCTAAGGTACAGCTTTAAATTTCCCATCGTTCTTTCTCATCTATATCTAGTGAATGTGACGTGTCTTTTTTTTTTTTTTTAATCATTTTTTCGTATGTCAACTAAGTTTGCTGGAGTGATATGTGCCCCCAGTCTCTCATATTGCACACTGAACTTCCTCATGAATTCATTCTTGCAGTAGTTTCTTTATACCCCTCTCATGTAAGTATGGGATGGGAGGATCCAGTGTTGTTTTAGGCGTTACGTTTACTTGCGTTGACACTCTGGTGGAGTGTTTGACTGAGTGACAGCTTTGGCATTAGTGTTGCTAAACCTGGGTGGAATCTTGGCCGGGGTGGAATCTTGTTAGTGGATGCTAAGCTTTCTGTTTTCATGTTTTAGAGAGCCAGCTCAGGCCTAGTGATTTTATTTTATTTAATTCAAAAATTACCTACATATAATTTCAGAAATTTTTTTAGTATATTTTGTTTGCTCACTCTATATTATTTTCCAGTCATATTAATTGGTATAAATATCTAAATGACAATAAACTATCGGACATGCTTTAACCACATTATGTACATTTTTGGATAAATTTTGGACATATTGAGATTATTTTATAAAAACTAGGATCATTATGTAATAAAATATATGGTCATTTTGTAGGTCTATTAAAGAATTGTGTGTCACAACTTAAAATTAGAAAATTATTTGGATTTAAAAAAATCAAATATGAATATTTTTAGTTGACGAGAATATTTGAATTAGACCAAAATGAGCGATTGAGAGAAAAGGGAGAAAAATTGATTAGTGCGTGTATGTGACTTTTGATTATTGTATCCTCTAGGGAGATGTGACTTGCCTTTATTTGAGGTCCAGATAGTTGATGACAACACTACAATACTAGGTTACTCTTGACACTTTGGACTAACTTGACAATTATATTAATGATGTATGCTCTAATATTAAGTTTTCAAATATAGAAAGGAGCGGTGTTCTAGCTCAAATGAATGGTCAAGACTGCAAAAGACGTAATATATCGATTTACTTTGTGGTTTTGTCATTAATTTTTCCAGTTGCATCTGTCCCCGTAAAAAAAACATTTTGAGCTATAACGATTGTGAAAACTCGATTTCGTAATCAAATGGGTGATAAATAGGTAATTAATAATATGATTTTGTACACAAGAAAGATATTTTCAATAACATAGATAATTAAGTTATTATACAACGCCTTTCAAAATGCGAAAATGGTCGAAGACAATTGTAAATGATTGTAATTAGTTTCAATTTTTTTTAATAAATGGTTGTAAATAGTCTTTTTTTTTTTTAATTGTTTTTTGCTTGTATAAACTATATATAACGGTTTGTGATCCTTTTATGTTTAGTGAATTTTTAATTATCAAATATGATGTAAATAATAAGCGTATCATCTTAATTTTATCGATTAGAACAAAAAAATTAAGTGCCGACCCTAGGAAGATTTTCTGGCTTCGCCCTGCCTAGATAATGTAAAGAAGTCCTTCAAGGCTTATGTTTGACGCACACACAAGAACTTGTGTTATCATTTGAGCATAATATCTGAATCATTGGACTCAAAAATGACCCTCTAATCATTTTACTGTCAGAGCTATATCTGATATAGCCTCTGGAAGATGCAACAAAATATCCTTTGAAATAGTCTATTGACTTAAAAGTACCCTCATTTTCCTTACCTTTGTCAGCCTTAATTCAGATTTTCTTTTCGGTAGGTACCCTAATTCAAATTAAGCATCACTTAGAGCAGGAATTAATCCATGGAAGTCTTTGGAAGTTCAAAAATATCCATGAAACGTCATAAAAAGAAATGATATATCAAAGCATACACATGCATGGTTTTAATCCAAGATCTTGAATTGATTCAGCATTTTTGAAGAGAGAGAAATTCTATGAGATTTGAAATATGAAGAACAAAAGGGGGAGAGAATGAGTGATCGTTTCTAAAAGAAATATAGCTGAATGATGAAAAGGCAAACAAAGGGTACATAAGAGGCTCCCTGTTAGCATTTGATGTGAGATAGAAGTTCTTTTTACACCCTCCCTCATGTGGGACCCTTGTTCACACGTGGGGTTAACAAACAAACGGACTAACATGCATACCGGGCAATTCAAAACGGTAAGAGACTTTGCCCACCGGCCACCCAAATTCCAGCTCTGATATCATGTTAGAACATCCAATCCAAAATTACATGACAATGAGTAGAGAGACTCCTTAAGCATGTAAGCTAACCTTAGGTGATACTATACATTCGATGTGGAATAAAAGCTCTCTTTACACTCCCTACAATGAATGAGAGNACACAAAATTACATGACAATGAGTAGAGAGACTCCTTAAGCATGTAAACTAACCTTAGGTGATCCTATACATTCGATGTGGAATAAAAGCTCTCTTTACACTCCCTACAATGAATGAGAGCTCAAGAGTCCTTAAAGAGGGTAGAAATAATCTCTGAAGTGCAACAACAGTTCTTGCTTATCGGGAAAAACATGGTATTGATAGTTCTTCCTCCTCTCCTAGCCAAGCTGTCTCCTTTGAATGGTTTGGTCTTAGAGTGTTGGAATCCCATTTCATGAGAATAGTTTAGAACCAGAAGCTCCTCAACCCTTTAATGACGGAGTAGCGTTCAAGAGATAGCTTCCCCCACCCCCCTCCACACGTAAGTGCCTTCCTTAGGTCTTTCAGCAGGGTTAATGTCGTATCTGATGGCATATCCTAAGGGCTGGCTTAGAAAAAGATGGAATTTATTTGCTTCCAATAATCTATACGAGTATCTCCAACCACTAACTGACCACAATTACCAATAGAGAAACCATCAAAGTTCAATTGAATTCTTCTCGGGATGTAGGCTTCCAATTCTGAGCAAGTCTTGTTTTCTAAGGTTGAGAAGAAGTCATCGCCAGCCAATCTCTCGGTATGGAATTTCGGAATCAACCTTGAATTTTTTTCATAACAGAGACCCATAGAGAAGTCAAGGAAGCTCTGTATGCCCAGGTTCATCTACTGAATATGGCATATCATGTTCATGTATGATGATGCACCATGTTTTGGTTCTAGCTGAGCATCAGAACATATCAAGGTACTTGGTTGTCTGAATCCTGCACATATGAGCAGGGGTCTTACTTGGAGGGGGTGTTGAGATGTTGATGTACATTGTTGGGCCAATTCCCCAACAACTAAATATTTTGAAGCTAGTTGTAGTCTAACATTTAACAAGCTTCCGCCAAACAGGTCGCTCTTGGCTCTTTAAAAAGTATGTTCACTAAATAGTCAGTGTTGCATTGTGTTTTTTTTTTTTTTTTAGATGTTGTAAATGAAAACTGGAAGTTCAGAAATTGGACAATTAAGTTCTTTGGGTTACGTTGAGAAAGACATAATAATTTGCATGTCTAGTTAAGAGCACTACTTTCTGATATACGATTGGATGCAAAACTGGATTATTGAGCAAGCTCAGTTTGGATCAAGCTTGAGCTGGTCTATATATGCTGAACAAAGATTGAGCAGTCTAGTTAACCCCGGGTGGAGCTTGAACTTATTAAGTGCTTATGCAGTCAAGTTTGAGTTTGAGCTGCCCAACACCTGGAGTAGGTCAATTTATTTATAGTCGTTAGTATGAGTGCTTCCATGGCCAGGGTTAAGCTGCCCCAGTGCTATTTAAGGTGCATGTCACACTGAGGTGCTTAGAGCCTTAGATCTCCAGGAGCCTAGCTGCGAGATGTGAGGCGAGGGGCGGCCTTCATCAAAACAAAGTGCATGTTGTGAATACCAAACAAATATTTTAACATTGGTGAATTCTCAGCATGGGCAACCTGATAACAATTACAAGTCTTACCCATAGAAGGACATATTATGTAAAAAAAAATAGCAGAATATAAGAATTTCAAAAATCATACAGCTTCAAGGTCTATGTTTTCAATTACCACCAACAGGAGGCTTCTGTCACTGTCTAACTTTTTAAATACAAAATATTCAAATTAAATAAAAGCGTAAGAGTAAGACATCCATATGAGGGCACAAACTTCTACTTTTATCCTGTGTATCCACAAATTCAGAGTGTCGTTGGAAACATAAAATCGAAAGACTGAAATTTAATGTAGAATATGTATTTGGAAAAGGTAGATAATGTAGAATACATATTTAGAAAAGACTGAAAATTAATGTAGAATACTGATTTAGAAAAGGAAACATTAAATCAAAAGATTGGAAATTAATGTGTTTAGAAAAGGATAGAAGAAAAAAATAAAAAAGAAGGCAAAAGAAAGAGACGTGTCGCATGCATAAAGAAGAAGAAAGAGAAGGACTGAAAATAAGAGGAAAAAAAAAGAGAGAAAAGAATAGAGTTTGAATTTTGCTAGAGAGGGGCAAAAGACATATTTATTGATCTTGAGAGAGAGAGTTTGCATATGGCTTCAGTTTCAAGTCTCTTCTTCAATCGAGCTTAAATCTAGTACGTATACATAATTACATATCAGTTACTTTGACCAAGTCAATAGATCCAATGGCCAATGATATACTATTGAAGGTGAAAAAAAAGATGTCTCAGGTCTTTGGATTTAAGCCAGCAACTTGCGCCTTGCCTCTCAAATGGGATCATGTTGCAGTTGGATAAATATTGCAATTTTATTTTGGGATTTATGTGGATATTATTTAGTACTAATAATTTCCTGAGAAGTCACTGTATAACCCAAAAAAAAAAAAATNCCGCCAAACAGGTCGCTCTTGGCTCTTTAAAAAGTATGTTCACTAAATAGTCAGTGTTGCATTGCGTTTTTTTTTTTTGTAGATGTTGTATATGAAAACTGGAAGTTCAGAAATTGGACAATTAAGTTCTTTGGGTTACGTTGAGAAAGACATAATAATTTGCATGTCTAGTTAAGAGCACTACTTTCTGATATACGATTGGATGCAAAACTGGATTATTGAGCAAGCTCAGTTTGGATCAAGCTTGAGCTGGTCTATATATGCTGAACAAAGATTGAGCAGTCTAGTTAACCCCGGGTG